CGAGGCCGCGCGAAACAACATGCCCCTCGAGTGATTTGGTACTGGTTCGGCCAATCCCAGCGTTTATTCTGACCTCAGTATTAACAAAGTTGCGTATTCCAGCTTCGCTCATGCCAGCTGTAGAACACAGTCAGGAAAACAAAACACTAATGGAAATTGACCAAGAAAAAGTTAATTAATAATAGAGGACAGAAAACGAACAAATGGAAAAGATGTAAAAAATCAAGTGCATGCCGAGTAAACTTCTCGTAGTTCATCGGTATATATGTTCTCTTAGCATTCGTATACTTCATCCACTTTTTTCCCAACTGAAGCTCATATCCGCCATCTGCGAGGGTCTAAAATTAGTTTTCCGAGATCCGAACTTCGACTAATTGCAAACTCGGGCTTCGGAAATTTTATGCCTTGTTAACTAAGGATTTTAACATAACCAAATTAAAGCGCGCTCTGATTGGTCAATTCAGGGTTCACTATTTGCCCCCCGGGTGCACCCTGCTGACGTGAGCAAATGCAAAGACTAGTTTTCCACGCGCGCTTGTCTTTTCTTGTCACGTAAGATTTGTTAAATGAAAGAGAACTCTTTTGCTACAATGTATCAATATTATGTTATAAAACAAATGATAAACGCCACAGTGTACACTACTGAGTTATGGATGCACTTGGGAGGTTTGCCATGGACTCAAGAAGCTAGAGTCGCCCTTGGCTATCGCTTCGCGCGACTATTACGCTTCTTTCATGCTTGGCAACCTCCCGCGTGCATCCATTTAAACAATAGAGTGTTTCTGTCGAGGAACTATCGGCTGATAGTTGTCCCACGGAAATTTGATGTTCGTAAAACAAATATTTGCCCGAGAACCGAAGCTTCTTGGGAAAATATGCAAGTAAACACTTTATTGTCTTTATTGTTCACCACTAAATTTTCTTCCGCGTACCAGTTGAAAAACAGTCAAAACCGCCCATTAAATGCAGATCAATCGAATATTTATTCATGAGTACAGCCTGTCACAAATGTCAATAATTCGCACCCGTACATTGGCTAAACAATGCATTATACCTGTCAGAATTGAAAAGTCACCGTTTTTTTGATCTGCCAAACTTCGCGGCCGTCAAACCATTCAAAAGTTTTCACGGATGAGTATTATCAATCCGGGTATTTTCCACGGAGGGCACTATATATGAGCTGATAGTGTCTCTCCACGGATGAACACTATCGCGTCACGTGATCAATTTAAACCAATAAGAATCGGAGAAAATTTAATGGTGAACTATAAAACTCAATAGTGTATGCTGTGGTGCTTACCATTTGTTAAATGTGGGGGACGAATGGTGAGATTCTGGAAGACCGATATGAATAGTAGGCGATATTTTAGAATTTACTGGTGAGAATCGGTTTAAGGCTGGAAAAGCTACCGTAACAACTTTTTTAGAGATAATCAAACGGCGATATTAAGGAAAAAAGGAAAAAAAAAAAGAAAAAGTAAAGTCCGTTTCATAAGAGACCTATTCAGAATCTCCTTATACGGTCATGCGATTGCGATATACGATCTCTTCAAGTTTCGTTTTAAATCACTGCTTGCTGAAGAGGATAAATGTAAAGCGTTGTACCGCCCCTATACGAACTAACAGCTTCGAGATGTGTTACTTCCTCGAGCGAATGGTGAGACTGGACGGCGGATATTAGGCGGATATAAGGGGAGCAGGGATGGCGCAGTGGTGAGAGCACTCGCCTCCCACCACTGTGGCCCGGGTTCGATTCCCGGACCTGGCGTCTCATGTGGGTTGAGTTTGTTGTTGGTTCTCGTCCTTGCTCCGAGGGTTTTTCTCCGGGTCCTCCAGTTTTCCTCCCTCCGCAAAAACCAACATTCCAAATTCCAATTCGATCTGGAACAGTGGACAAGAATAGCCACCCAGTGGATGTCCATTGCTAAATCATTTATTTATTTATTTATTTATTTATATTACTAGAGCGCGAGATTTTGGAATTTATTGGCGGGAATGGGTAGAAGAACTGCGAAAGCCACCGTTATAACTTTTTCAGATATAATCAAACTGGTACAAGCGGCATATAGAGATTGGAAAAACTAATCCGCGTCAAACACCACTGCTTACCTGTAGGTATAGGTATTCTATTACCACCTGCAGGTGTGTTCACATTAGTACTTTCGATGGATTAAGTCTACTGGTTTTCGCCATTGGAAAACCTCTGAAGGTTTATCAACAGCAACTGTTCATTACCATTTGGTGTTAAGGACGGTATCTGTCCTGGAGGCACATACCACACATTTAAGCTTTCTTGGCTTCTCAACAAAGCGTGATTATAGTATATGAATCAACACTCTTTAATCAGACCACACATTTAATATGTGATATATGGTATTCACTAAGTATCAATATGAGCATCATATCATTCCGACTACGAAAAAGCATCTTGCTGGAAAAAATGAATTCAATGAAACTGGACAGTGTGGCAGCCATCTTTAACCAACAAAACAAGCAAGTAGCTCTTGTAATGAAACCAAAACGTGGCGTTCGAGACTAATTTTCATGGAAGGGTTGTGCTACTTTTCGAAAGTAGACTATACTTCTGTTTTGATTGGTTGACTACGTCATCCGCGCGTATGATTACTCGACACCTGTATTTGCACACTGGCAAAGTAACAATTGACGTTTTAGTCCTTAATCATACGTGTCTGCCACACATGTCCACTCATCGTCAATGGTTGTTACTAGATTACATGTTAAATATGATATAAGGTTAAATAATCACACACTGCATCAAATATACGGTTAAATAATCACACGCTGCATTAAATATAAGGTTACATAATCACACACTGCATTACAAAAATCAACTATAGCTATCATTGACGTTTTACGTCTGATAAGATTTATAATTAACACAGCACACATGCATTCACAGCTGCGCTGTGATCTTAAAAGCTGGTGTGTATCTGTTCCTTTAATCTAATCGTATTTCAGCCCAACGAAGGCCACGATATACAAACTGCCCAACAGCAGTCACATGGCCAATAGTGAAAAACTGGAATTTTAAAAAGCGTCTATAAAACTTGTTCAGCATTGCGTAAAAAAGGTGTCAGAAATAATCGAATTAAACTTCTTCTTGAACAAATTCCCAAAACGAGCACGCTAGAAAAATATGCACTTACCAAAATTATCAGAAGGAATTAAAAGCAGAAAAAAAAAAAAAATCTGACAAAGAAACAAATACCCTGCGAGCAGAGCCTTTTTAACCCGTCCTCGAATCGAAAAGGGAAAAAGGCTCTGCTGACATCCTGTTGTTGCTCGTTTGAACATGCGCGGCGGTTGCCTAGGAACTGGTCCTTTTCCAGACCCCCTTGAACTATTGTGGGCGAAGATTTGGTCAGCTGTATACATGAAAAACAAAGACGTGCGCACCAAAACCGGTTTGACTGGAGGCGAAACCGGCTTGACTAGCCCGGAGTTTTGGGCTTTCGGCATTTCAAAGTAACAACAGGATGTCGGCAGAGCCTTTTTCCTTTGGAGGGTTAAAAAGAAGAAAAGGCTCTGCTCGCAGGGTAAGAAACAAACTGAGAGCTGAAGCACAATGAAATAGAGAAAAAATAAGTAAGAAAGAAATCAAGGGGGAAGTTAGCTGAAAGCCGAAGCGAATTAAAAGAACACGTTCCACCTTCAAAAGAACAATGATTTATACCGTGAGTTTTTTTTTTTTTTGCGTCTGCCTATTTCTGCAAAATATGATAGAAAATTACCAAACTGCACCAAGTGCAATAGTGATAGATCTTATAGCAAGCGCATATGAAACTAACTCTTTTTTGGTATACATTTTCTGGAAAGAAATGTATAGAAATAACCAAAGCTGCCGACGTGTCTTCAGTTTTCTACTGCAGATTTTCAGCTCTGTAACATGATCGTTTTGGCCGCGCGCCAAATGTGGACCCTTTTGGGACGCCAAATCGTAATCTCGCGCAAAAAAATGGCCAAGGAGGACTCGCTAGGCGCTAAGGTCGATTATATCAAATTTTAAAGACAGCTATCAACCAGAAAACGCAAAAAAAAAAATCGTGCCATAGGCACTTTAAGCGTGTTGTCTCGGGTTAGTATCAACACCCTAACCGCCGCCTGGTGAGCTCATGTTGTAGAGCGCCTGACTGCTGTGCGAGAGGTCGAAGTTTCCAGCCCCAGACCGGACCCATACTCAAGGTCTTAATTATAACTGGGGAGAATGTGGTGCCTATGGTGATTGACGTTACCGAACTGTCTATTTTCTAAAAAAAAACTTATATGTTTATTGGCGTGTGCCATTTAACAATTATTCGCCGAAGGCGACGTGAATATCGTCGAATAATCCCCGAGACGAAGTCGAGGGGATTATTCAACAATATTCACCAAACCTGAGGCGAATAATTGTTTTAGTATAATTTCAGAGCTGAACAACAGAGAAATTTCTAAAATCATAACATTTTAGTAACATTTATTAACATTTTATTTTAACATTTTATACAAACCGCGTGGAGCGGTTTATATGGCTTCACATAAGGAACCGCTCTACCAATCAGATTGCTGGAAACTCTTTGCTCAGCTTTGAAATTATACTAATTACTATTATAACATAACCAAAGTAAAGCGCGCGCTCTGATTGGTCAATTTAGCGTTCCCCATTTGCCCATGGGTGTACGCTGCTGACGTGAGCAAATGCAAAGACTATTTTTCCGCGCGCGCTTGTTTTTTCTGGTCGCGTAAGATTTGTTAAATAAACGGGAACTCTTTAGCTACAATGTATCAATGTTATGTTATAAAACAAATGGTAAACACCACAGCGTACACTATTGAGTTATGGATACACTTGGGAGGTTTGCTAAGCACTCAAGAAGCTAGAGTCGCTCTCGGCTATCGCCTCGAGCGACTCTTACGCTTCTTTCGTGCTTAGCAACCTCCCGCGTGCATCCATAACTCAATAGTGTACGCTGTGGTGTTTACCATTTGTTAAATATCCATATCTTCACTTTCCAATTTTTGACTACCTATGTTTATAAGGGTTTTCTACCCAGTCAAAAAAATATGCGTTATGGTCGCTATGAAGTTGATTGATTATACTTGCAAAATTTTAAGGAAAATACCTACAACTGAGCTGCAAGTTGTATGAGATGGGAGCTATTTTTGAAAAAAGGCTACCATTCCGGTATATCGGTAGATTTTATCTTTTCATCTATGTATAAACTATGTTACGAAACAGATTATAAGCAAAACAAAGAATTTCCATTAAATTGTGATCTGTTGTAAGAAATATTTAGTTTTGACATTTCCCAAGAATTCACCGCCTCAAAGATTTCTGCTAGCCCATGGTGATCACAAATTTATGTTGCCCCCTGTAACAGTTCGATTCAGGCTCAATTAGGGTTCACAATTTGGGGTAACGCATATTTTAAAAAAAAGCGTGATACATTGTACAAAAGCACTCATAAATCAAGGATAAACACCACATGCAACTGTGCGACATGCGACGATCGTAAATTTCCACGGGATTGACCGAGTTGATGAAATAAGCGCATTCGCTCAAAATTGCCGTACTTTTACGTCATTTACGTTATTTCCAAGAGAACAGAAATTCCATGAATACTGTCTTTAACCTAATCAGACGGATCCATTGTTTGAACTCATCCTTTCCTTTGTCTGCGCTTGGAAAAGCGAAGAACTTGCATGTATGGCTCTCCGATGAATGGCTGCATGATGGGGCAAAGCAGTACACCATTTTAACCCAAAAAACTCCTTTTTCTTAACAAAGGTGACCATTTTGAAAATGGAAATAACCTTTATTACCCCTCGGTTACACTTGCGCAAGGATCATGCTTGCTTGGTCAATTTTTGTTTATCTAGCAAATTCGTAGCTTGTTATAAATGTGACCGACCAAACTTGGCAATGCTTGCTTGCTTAAGAAAGAAGGCGGAGCTGCTTAAACTTCAAGAGAAACGCAGCTTAACACAAGAGCGCTACGGAGTGCTCTTGAGCTAAGCTAGATAAACAATTGACCAATCAGGTGAAGCATTGTTTGACATCTCGATCTCCGCGACAAAAATAAGCAGGCTGTTGTTCTTTCAATGTGACCAGATCCCGCTTGCTCCAATCTCTAGCTCGTGCTTGGGTTTGCTTGTCTGACGTCACAAGCAAGCATGCTTCAGAGTGATTTCAAGAGCGAGTATGACCGAGGGGTAAGTCTTCGAAACTTCCTTTGTTGCAAAACACCTCCACACAATGGCTACGTGACCCACGCGCATGAGATAATCCGTATTGTTTAGAACTGAAATTTTTTGGGCCATGGTGACGTGACGTCACACTTTAGGACTCTATTGACGTTCACAAGTTCGCATTTTAAATTCCAAAAACATATAGGTAAACGATTATTCAAAATCAAAAACCACACCGTACGACAAAACAAGAAAAAAAATAAAAAACAAAAAGAAAAACCAAAACAAAAGAAATACGAAACGCTTGTTTTACGAAGCAACAAATCGTACGCACACTTGCATCTTAACAATACTAAACTCTTACGGTGTTATAAAAATACATCACGCAAAATTTATCCTACTTTATGATAAATTTTTATGCCTGCGGGAAAATAACTAAGAAACATGAGAATTAATCACTAAGGCTACGATTTCCATTGTCTTGTGAAACAACTGCTGCTCCTCTAACGTTTTACAACCTCAGTTGAGACTAAAATTGTGTCTCGTCAGTTGCCTCTGTGTTCCCAGCTGAGGATTCCACCTTGCTGCCAGTGGCAGTAATACTGACAGCTGGGGTGGTTCTCTCTTTGGGAAGCTCAGCACCTGTGTCTTCAGGGTTTCCCTTCAGATGCTGGGTAATGTCGGCATACTGTGTTTCAACATAAGCTTCCGGCCGTTTGATCGGAGGCAGGGTTTTCGGGGAGGTGGATACTTCAGGCATTTTCTTCATCTGATGGAATTCACCCCTGTCAGCGTAAAGAACTTCACCGGGCTTGGGCTTCCGTAGGTAAAAAAACAAAACAAAACAAAAAGAGAGAGTGAGGAAAAAAAAGGGATAATGGCAGGCCCCTCGAAAAGATTCGCTTTCTTTACCTCCCACTAGGTGAGTAGATATCTTTTTCAAATCATGGGAAATTGTGAGAATGGGAGGAAAGGAAAATTTCACTTTGAAACTTCAGAGGAAGATGAAAGAAAGTAGAAAAATTGGGCACACCGTAGGATTGCCTGTCATCTAACAAAACAAAACAAATATAAACAAACTACTTAGTAGACCAAACTAGCCAAACAACAGCTAAAGCAAGAACAGTGGTCTGCAAACCTTTTTTGATTTCTTTGACATGTCGACTTCAGCGTAGGTGTTATCCACTTCATTTTTCTTTTTCTTCTTAGACTTGTCCACTAAAGCATACTGATCGTCAACAGGCTTCTGCTCGGCAGTTTCCTTATTTTTCTTTTTGTCTTTCTTTCGAGAGTTGTCTACGACAGCATTTGCAGGCACTGGAGGCTGAGGTCCTGGCATGACATAATCACGTGGTTCACCGTCTGACAGGGAGCCGTGATTACTGGAGCTGAAACAGGAGGGAGTATCAGCGTAGATGAGTACCCTTAAAATATTGTGGGGTATTTCAACTGCGTTATTTTCACGGATCACGCAAACTAAGAAAATCATCATGTCTGCTTGGAGTTAGACGCTCTAAACGTTAAAGAGAAGGAACTGAAATGCAGTTTATGACTACAGAAGCTAAAATTCATCATGATGACATCTAACAAGGAAAAAACAAATTAAAGAGGCACTTACAGTGATTGAGCGTCACTAGAAGAAACAGTTTCTTGTCGTAAAAAAGAAAAGAAAAGAACCGTCAAACATGAATTCAACACCGATAAAAACTATAAGGTTAAGGAGATGAAAAAGGTTGGCAGTATGAATTAGGCTAACTCGCATTGGAGACAACAAGTTAACTTTAAACATGATTTGTTTAACGCGAACCTGTCAACAATCTACAGATAATTATGAACTTTTCTATGCCTAAAAGCAGTCTAAATGCAGTCCAAAATTGAAAGGTTTAGTTCCTATAGATAATCATGGTTTACTCACAAAAGGGGGACCAACTAAGTAGGTCGTTAATCGTAAGAAACAAACTTTAAGTTAACCTAGTACGTATCGTCACACAATAATAGCAACAACCACCAGCGTAACTGAAAAGTAAGCTAAACACCTCAGATAGATGATGAGCTACAACTAACTTAAGATGATAACTTAATCATCACTTCTTACACCTTGCCGTACTCAATTTTTTTTTCCTCTAGAGCTGCTCTAAACTGAGATTACAGAGGTGTGCAACTCTAACTAAGGAATTTATGCACCACTCTATAGTTGCAGTTTGCAGGAAAATAAACGGAAGCACTTGTTTGCAGACACAAACAAATCCCACTCACCTTTGCGGTCTTTTTTACATTTCTTTGCCACCCACCATGGCAAAAGACAACAACAGAAAAGCACCACAACGACGGTAGGAATGATAAGGGCAATTATAAGCTCTTTTTCTAAATAACCAAAGGAACCACAGAAAATCAACATGTATCATAGTTTTGAGAACTGCAAACGGCAAAATAAAAAGGAGATTCAACAGATGCGCTCTTGTAATTAAAATGAACATAATTATTAGTTTAAAACTCTTTAAAGTGCCTTTGACACTATGATGCGTCTTCTGGTTGATATTTGTGTTTCAAGTCTGAGATGATAGACCTACGCGCCTAGCGGGTTCTCTTTGACCATTTTTTTGCGCATCGAAAGTACGATTTGGCGACCAATAAGGTGTCTAATTCATCGCGCGGCCAAAACGATCATGCTACAAAGCTGTGACGAAGAAAACTGTGAAGACACGTCGGCAACTATGGTGAAGATAGGAGAAATCAAGAAGGGACCGAACGTATTGCAAGGCAGGAACGACAAATAATGCTAGCTTCAATAAGAATGCACACATATGAGTTGCACTTGGGGTAATAAGGATTTTTAATATATACTTCATATAAATAACCTCTTGTGTAGTTACCCTGTTTTGGCGCCAGAATGCTGTCGCAGGGAATCTGGGGACGAAGTAGCCTTTTTTATTTAAATAGACGCGACAAATTTAATACTGGTCTAAAAGTCAACAGAAGACATCCGCAAAAAGGCCGCGTAGAGATGCGTGGACTGCCGGCCAGAATTGTAGTTTGACTGTTACCATTGGCAACCAGTCCAAAAATAAATCGGCTTTCTGTACATCAGTAACCTTCAAGTTTAGTAACGCTTCGCATCGTAGGCGTGAATCACACACAGGGTATTTCTATACCCTGCTTTCCAAAGGATGTCGCTGTTTGGCTAAAATGGACCGGTTTGATCGTCGACATCGAGGATATTTTGCTCTTTAAAGCCTTCGGCCTTATGCTCCGTTCCGGATTCGAAGACGGATGTTACGAACACATACCACTAGTCAAATCAGGGGAGACGGCCAATGAATTCAGCTAACTTAATGATGCTGATTAAAGGGCCTGTTCCAACACCGGACCTGATTGTTCCACATTCTTTTCGTCTGAAGAATGGAGAGCTTCTTGTCGTCGTTTACTTCACGCGTTTGAGATGTACTCATAGCCTTGTCTCTCCATTAATACATTTGCACTTTTCTTGTCGTTTGAAAATCCTACCAATTGTAGTTTCCATATTACTTTAATAACAGATGATACGCCATTTGTAATAGAGGTCAAGCTCTTTCCTAATCTCACTAACATCCTGTCGCCTGAACAGTGTGAAACCTCTAGCGGATCCTGGCCTAAACAAAAATTCGAAGGGGGCCGTGTACTCTCCCAAACTGGGTTTACGATGCACCTCAAGAGCCATCAACCCCCCTCCCCCCTGCCCTCAAGAGAATAAAGCTAGCAACAATAGCAAGGTCATTGTGATAGCTGCAGTGCAACGAGATTAGCTGTGAAACACAAGTGGTGTGAAAATCTAGGCATTATATGCACTTTTAATTTACAACACTGATGTCAGTTATTTGCCAGTGGGCGAAATTGGTCTTGCGACTTGCTGCACTTAAACCAAAGAAGTTTTTCTCTATTAAAATCCACATTAGAGATGAACTTGAATCAGAGGACTATAAGCTCACTCGTTTTCCGTTTGCCCGGTTCGACGACCATAGCCTCTGTCTGCAATCTCAGATGAAAGGAGCAACTTGCAGTAAAACTGGCAGATGACTTCTCGGCGAAAGGTCGTCACGCTTCGTAATACAGCAGATTCTCTCGATGTTGCCCTCAAAAGTTGGCTTTTTGTTTGCTCAAACGAACGCTAAGCAAGGGGAACCTTCACCGCTCTTAATGAGAAGCAACAATATGTTATGGCGACAGAAACGAACACAGCTACCCATTCTCAACATAGATTTTGCCACAGAAAACAAACACAAACATTCAGTCATGGGAGTTTTTCTTACAATCTTGACATGAACACTGCAGACGAGTAACCGTCTTGGTAGGTCTTAGTCGAAATCTTCGTTTGATTCACTTGGTTGTCCTTCGTAGGTCTCAACCGTACTTGCAAGTTCTATTTCTTCGTTGCAACTTAAATTCGATGTAATACAACTCTCGGTAGAGCTTGCTGAGGCTAGGTATACATCGCTATCGAACATTATTTAAAGAGTATTAAAACGCTGAGTGATACAAAATAACAAGAGATGTGAGGGATTTGTGGGTGTCAACTGAGAGTTTTCACAGTTTTCTATGTCACCACCCGCTCATTCGTCAACAATCTATCGGACACTTTTAAGACGAAATTAGAGCGCTTTAGGGCCCAAAAACTACAAAACACTACACTACGAAACATCTTTAACTACTTGCCACGCTTATTATCAAGAGATAATTTGAATATATCAACAAGGTTGAAATGGTAAGTAAGCCACCGTTACGATTATAAAAGCTGACGTTTCGAGCGTTAGCCCTTCGTCGGCGCGAATAGAGGAATTGTGACAATGGTCCACATGTACGTAGGCCACATATGACCAGACGTTTAGTGAGGGGTCTCTGAGTCATTTTTTAAGCCCAAAGGCGAAAATTTTAAAATCCATTTAATATTATTCAAAGAGCATGGATGAATCATCCACGAAGGAGACTCTTATGCTGTCTCTAAAAATGGATCCCCAAAAGAAGTGCTTTTCAAGAACCACCAGAGTAAAAACACTTCATACGCTGAACTGGAATCCCGTTAGCTGACGCGAGTAACTGAATGGTTTATAAAGCACAATTCTCATGTATTAATGATTTACTATATAGATACTGATGAAATACTAGGATTTTTTCCTTTACTAAGAAATCATATCTTTATCGCGCCCAGTGAAGATACTATTTTTGTTTTTCACGTGCGAGGATATCGGTGTCGCCATGGTTACTAACATGATAAGCCAATTACAAGAGAGCTTCCCGCTCTGGCGTGCGGCCGGTTTGACTTTTTGGAACTCAAAATATATGTATTATTGTCTTTATTCCTCCTTTATAACTTTATATCCGAGTTTCATAACATTTTTGTAACAAGCATTTTACGATAGGTGACCACTTAAGATGCACTGTTTTGCTGTTTCGAAAATGAATTTAAAAAAAAGTTGCGTTTTATGTGGAAATTTCATCAGTATCTATAAAATAAACAGAACATTACATGGCCGCTTGGGGATACGAGTTTTATCTTCTCGTGCTGAAAGTATCTCTGACGAGTGACTCGTTAGAGATATCGTTTACATTAACATCTATTTTGCCTCCTTCACTTGGAAAATGCTGGCGAACTATTCAGGGACTATATAACTACGAACGACGTTAAAGTATGGAAAAAGAAAGAAAAATTAACCGTCATCCGCTCTGAAGTTCTCGAGAAAACCTAAAATTTGGTTATTTCACGTTGTTGTTTTGCCGAGAACGGAAAAGAAATGTACCAAAATGTTAAACGCACGTGCAGGGCGATTGTTTTTGCTCATTAAGCCTATGGTTTTCTGCCGCTCTCGTTGCCGTTGCCGCTCTCGCTATAGCAGTAGGGAGCTTTATAAAGCTCCCTACTGCTAACATTTCACGCACAATTAGTTGCGCAACGAACAAATTTTCATCGGCACGCGTTTGAACAAAACCTTGATGACAACAAAAATAATTCAAGGATAACTGGCGCAGCAGTAAAAAATTTCCAGTTAACACTAGTTTGAGCTGAAGAGAATTTTCCCGTTTTAAGGGACTTGTTAGGCTCAGTAGAACCAGAGATATCAATTTTTTTGAGAAATCAACAAATGAACATGGTGCTCAGAACGATCGCTCGCACAAAATGTGGCCGCGAATTCGCATTCTGTCGACTATGAAACGTTGTGATTCTTTCGTTGTGAGCCTTTTTGTAAAAATTTCCTTTGCTTTTATGGTGCGGGTTACATATTAAATTGAAAAAAGTGTCCAAATTTAATTTAACAGGTTCTGTGAGATAAAGAATTACAGACCGCTCTTCCGCAAACCTTGTTGATGATCCATGTTTGCCAGCACTTTGGAAAAAAGAAACATTAATGTGGTTGTGTTTTTTTCATTTCCATCAAAAATTAACGAAGGCTTGTTATGAATGTTTTTCTCCAGGTTACAGTTAATTATAGCAAGTAAGATCAGCAAATATTTCAAATAATTAAGTTATTTAAAGTTGAGAGAACAGTGTATTCAAGTTGGTGCTGAATTGATATTATTTATTAATTAACCAATGTAAAGCAAGAAAACTAGAGTTTTGATAATCTTTTTGAGAAAGAAAAAAGGAAAATTAAAAGGTATACATTTTTCTTCACATAGGCTGAAAAGTAAAGTGACAATTTGGCCAAGTTGCTGTACTTTGACTCATCTCGTAAGAAAACAATAGGGAGCTTTAATTAGCATCGCGTTTACTGCAAACGGCAAACGGCTGCTAGCGGTTTGAGGTTTCCCGTTTGCCGTCGTCACCAAAATTGAATTTAGCATGACGTTGACGTCTTTTGGCGGGAAAAGCCTACCTTTTAAGAGCCTTTTTATCTTCTTCAAGGTATTTTGAGATAAGGCCATTCATCCTTTCTCTACACGAGCACGACGGGTTTTTTGTCTTCCGAAAAAAAAGGGGGAAGTACCTTCGGAATTTCTTATAATCAGCGGGACATTTTGGCCTTCGATGGGCCACTTCGGTCCCCAGCATCACCTCTTGGCAAGTATTTGGCTATCTAAAAGGCATTTTCTAGAAATGGAAGAAGGCGTACATTGATACAGAACTCCATAACTGTGCTTCTTTGCATGCACATGTTTAGGAACTTCGAGCCGCCATTTTGTTTTCAAGTTCTTTCGCCACTCGGCTTTCTTCCATTTAGATCATGCAAAATACATTGTTTTTTAATCACAAAAAAACCACATTTGGATCCATAAATGGTAGAAAATTCTTACTAAAAGTGTCAAACGTAAGTTGGTTTCGTTAAGTGGCCAAAAAAACCTTCCCGTAAGTCACTTACGGCTGGAGCGCCTTCTTAACCCTCAACCCTTCTTCACGTCGAAACTGGAACCGCAAACTGCAAACGCGACGGCAAAGCGGTGGTCACATGACCTAAGGTTCGCCGTTTGACGTAAACGCGATGCTAAAGTTCCCAAATGTGTGTACATCACAGCCAATGAATTTGGCAAATAATGAGTGAACAGGTGGGATTTGATGTCTGAGCTGAGCTTATCATAGCACCAATTTTCACTTACTCAGGTAATTCCCAGTGTTTTATTGTACGAGGTTATATTGACTGAGATATTTGAAACATCTACATGGTTGACTATTGCATTAAATAATCATCTGAATTCATCTCTGTTGTTACAATGTACAAAACTTTTGTACTGTATAAATTGAGTAAGATTTTCTCTTATCCAAACTTTTCAGACATTAACACATCTGACATGAAAACAATCAAGAAAGCCTGTCAAGTAAGAATAAGGTTTTTGTGGCATTTGTTTGTAATTCACATGGTATTTGCAGGTTTCTCAAAGTAGTGTTTGAGCATAATTTTTAGGTAACATTCCAAACAAAAGTTGAATCAGCAGTGAACATTAATTATGGAAATATCCACACAATATTTAAAAAAAAAATCAATGTTGGGTGAGTTTACTTTAATTTGGAACCGAAATTAATAATTTGATTCATATTTGTGACATCAAGTGTATACAGTGTCTGGCTTTCAAACTTAAATCTTTCAAGTGGTGTGCATAGAACTTCACAAAGGGCTTTAAACAAGCAACAGAATATATGAACTTTCAAATTAGGGTCAAGGTTCATTCACCAGCCTTAACAGTAAATTAAAGAAAACAATCTCAGTCTGTTATTTGTACATGGCATGATCAATTTAACTTGCAAATGCTGTATGTCAAATTAATTACTAGGCAGAAAATAGAGAATAACGAGAGGTGCAACATATACTCACAATTGACATTGACAAAGATTGTACGGTTCACTGGAGTTCCAATCCCATTGTCCACAGTACATTGATATGTTCCAGAAGCATTCCTGGTGATGTTGACCATAGTCATTGGATTCCCATGAAAAACAAGCATTAGTTGACTATCCCTGCCACCATTTGACACTTTGGTCCAAGTGATGTTTGGTGTTGGTTTACCAGTTGAATTGCATGACAAGGTCAGTGTTGAACCCTCAGTTAAATTTTGGTCATCACTTGTTGCAGTTATTAGGGCTGGTGCTGAAAAGAAATTAAATGGGAAAGGCTACATAATTCAATTCATCACAGCCCTACAATACCTAACATAAAGATGCATTCATGACTTCATGGTACTCAGATTTCCATGCATGTAAAATCACTCCATGGTTAATGAAATTTAAAAACAATTCATGGAAGGAAAAATGAGATTTAACTGAAAGCATGCACAAACCCCCTCAATCAAGGAAGCAAATTATGACTTTAGAAGCAATGACTCAAGGAATGTTTTGAGTCATTATATTGTTTAACATAGCGTGATTTTTCCACAAATTATGTGTCAAATTGTTTCATACACTCAAGACTTTCAACCTATCAAGTTGTTTTCAAGTTTTTCTTGAAAAGTCCTTGCTCCCAGCTACCACAAAATGTACCGTGAACCGATAAAATGACATGCATGATTAGCGCTTGTAAAGGAATAAAATGGAGTAAGTTTGGCCCATCATACATGAATTTCTAAAAGAAGCATGGTGACTTATCTTCTTTACTACAATTTTTTTTGGACAGACATTGGTAGGGAACATTTAGCAAAAGTTTAGAAAACATTGTTTGATAACTTTTTTTCTGAGGAATCACTGTAAGAACTCCTTTTGTGAACCCTAGTATCATGTTGTCGCTGGTAAAATGTTAAAATCAATCAATGAATAAACTCAGCAACATAGCCAAATTTAAGTTGCAAAAATTCTGTAAAAAAAGCAAGGTGTTACCCCTACAATAAAAGATCTTGAATTTGAGAGAAATTCTAATAAAGGCTTCTCAAGACCATCTCCAAAAAGTGTTTGACAAGATATCCCCATAACATTAGTACACGTGTATCAACCTATTAACCCCTAAGAGAGACTGGAATCTAATTTCTCTCTACTCTATCACCCTTGAATCAAATATAAAGGTCATGAGAATATAGGAAATGATCACTAATCTAGGAAGCTCCTGATTGTCAAACATTATTTCTCCTAGTGTCGGTATCATATCAAATGTAAAAGGAAATTATGGAGAATATGAATATTAATGTCAAGATATAGAGAGTTAATTGCAATTTTCATGCCAGGCCCACCAATTCAGACTTAGATCCCTTGGTCAACACAATCTTGTGCCAATTGTTTGATGGCCACTAAGAGAGAGGGAGTTTTTCAGCACCCCAAAT